AAAAGTGATATCAAAATTGGTTTTCTCAGAGTTCTTCAAAAAATTTAAGATACTATTATCTTAAAGATAATTAATATTATTAGAGTAGGGAGAGATCATTGGACTGGACTCCAGTTGGTGAATAGAGGGGTGGCCAACCTTTGTTCATTAATAAGGAGCCCCCAATAATCTCTATAGTCTCTTGGGAGACACCCCCAATAATTTGTTCATTGATCAAAAGGTAAAGTTTTCTAGGAAAAATACAATAAGCTTTTCTCATAAAAGATGCTCTTGATACAAAACTGAATTAAAAAACAAGGTTTTCATATGTATATGACAATTCATTATTGTTAATCTCATAGTATATTGAATGTATTCATGATTCCAGATGTACAGGTCTTCCAAAATGTAAAACAAACATTGCTTATTGTGATAAGAATTTCCCTCAGATTCAGTCCTCTGACTTTAACAAAAAACTAATGTGCTGTATATCCCATTAAAGGACAATAAATTAGGTAAAAGTTTCTTATGTATTCGATAGAGATGATTGGTTAAAAGGGTTATGTTACGTCAAAATGAAAAATTAGGTATGTCACAAAATGTCATCATGATTGTCATGCTACAGTTGTGTGTATGGTTTTGATTTCTAATGTGAAAATACGTAACTGTTGTCTGTTAACATTCTATAAGGATTTAAATATTAGGATATCCATGGTTGTTAGAAATAACAGTTCTATTTTATGTTCTAAGGTGTTTGACATTCAGATAAGATAAGTGAAATTGTGTTTAAGGTAAGTGTTTGACATTCAGATAAGACTTATTCAGATAAGTGAAATTAAGCTTACTGCCTCCCTTATAATGTAATGTCATTAATCTCTTCTGGATGTTTAACAACTGACTTTGGAGACCAAAGAATTAGAACTAGATTAGACTAAGAGGGTAGCTAATATTTTGGTCCTAGCCCTCCAAGGTCAATGAAGACCCAGGATATATGGTCTACAACTCAGTTGAATCCCTAATCTTTTGATCAAGGACACTAGGGGACCACAGAAGAAAGTGATTCTATGACATATATTGTGCCTAAAGGAGAATCTCCAGGAGAGAAAAAAGTCTCTCAAGCTTTCACAGAAAGCAATTTGGTCAAGCAATGGCCGTGACTCATCCAGATGGCTGACACTGACAGAAGAACTAAGAGATGCTGTACTTGGTTCCAAGGTGATTTCCTGAGAAGATTTAACTGACCTTGCTAGATAGCAAGAAATTAATTTTATTAATATAGGTCTCACTTTAACTTGGTCTTAAACATTCAGTGGAAAAGTATAAGCACGAGATGTGGAAAACAATGCCACAATAATATGCTAGCTTTAAAAGTTCAAATCACTAACAACTTCTGATGATTGCCAGGTGTACTGGTGACTTAGTGCTGTGATGGATTATTGGACTGTATAGGGGTAACATGCTGTATACAGGTTCCAAAACTCCTTGGACTCAAAATATTTAGCCTAAACAAGTACGTTCATCAAAAATAAAAAGACCTTCTACAGAGTTCTCCAAACACAGCTCCACCAACTGCAACTGAACACTCATCACTTACACAACTAAACAGAAAAGACAGAGATGTTGAGAGCAGCTGAAACTGGAATTGGTCATATGTGTGAGGGCAGGACAGAGCCAGAGTGCCCAAAGCAGTCAAGCTACCTCAGTCTTGAGAGAAACGTCCTGCTTAGACAATTTCAGTCATTACGCAGTAGGCAACCTTGTGTCTTGTGATATTAACCTTGCATCTTGTGATACTAACCTTACAAAAGTCTGAATGCCTGTACTGTTTTGGTTCAGTCCTCTTTCAATATGGTAAGGACTCCACCTCACCTCAGTTCTTGTCTCTTGTCTTTCTTTTCTAAAACCCTTAACATTTTTTCCTGGGGACCACTGAGAGACCACTGGGTCACAATATGACATCACAATTGACCACTGTGACATCACAGAGGCCCATTATGACATCACAGTGCCACAATTACAGCATCACAGTGACTTATTGTGATGCCATAATGCCATGCTGTGACCTCACAATTCCCAGTGGGAACAGCACCATTCCCCCATTATGACCTCACCTGGCCCTCAATATAGTACCACAGTCAACTTTTATGATATCACAATTCCCCCATTGTGACAAAATAATGGCTCATTATGACATCACAGTACCACATTAATGGATTGCAGTATCCCACTGTGACATCATGATGCCCTATTTTGACCTCATATGTCCTATTGTAGCATTACAACACCCCCATCATGACATCACAATTCTCCATTATGACCCCACAGTTCCTCATTATGATATCACAACCATCCTTTGTGATATCACAAGGGTGCATTATGGCATCACAGTGCCCCAATTAGAACACTACAATTGCATTGTTGTGACAGGATGATGCTCTATTGTGACTTCAAAGTGCCCTATTATGACACTATAATGTGCCATTGTGACATCATAATTTACACTGTGACCTCACAGTTCCCCATTATGACATCACATTGTTCCTCTGTGCTGTCACTATGCTCCACTGGGACCTCAGAATTCCCCACTGTGATATCAAGTATTCTATTATGGCATCACAATGCCCTTTTCAGAGGCTGGGGATATAGCTCAGTGGTATAAGCACCTGTCTGGCAAGCGCAAGGTCCTGAGTTTGATTCCCGGTACCCAAAAAAACCCAAAAAATGAAAAAAAAATGCCCATTGTGGCACCACGGTTCTCTATTATGACATCACACTGCCCCCATTATGACCTCACTCTTCCCCATTCTGACTTTATAAAGATTTATCATTGCATCATAATTTCCATTATGACCACATCATACTCCCTTATGGCCTCATCACAACCTACTTTTTCCTTTATTATAATGAGAAGGTCTTCAAAGAGACCCTACTACACTTCATATAGCTCTATGCATACCAAAAGTACTGATTGGAGTTGTAAGACCCATGTTTAAGCTTGTTTTCACTAATAATTCCCATGTGTTCACTTGAATGCAGCACTTTCTTTTTCTGCCATTTCAGAATTCTTTTCTGGTCTGAAGATGTTTGAAGAATTATAATTTTTTATGTTTATTTCTTTTAATACTAGATTCACACCCACACAAAACTGGATGCCAGTTTGATATTTCTTCTCTTCTCTTTTCTTTTCCTTTTTGTTTTCTTTTCTCGTTTTATTTGTAGTGCTGGAGACTGAGCCCAAGTCCTCAGTCTGCTAGGCAGGGTTGCACCACTGAGCTGCACCCAGCCTCTTATAATTTTATTTTTGTGGTGCCAGGATTAAGCCGGCATCTTGAACAAATGAGGCAAGGGCTCTCATGGTAAGTTCCACCCATAACTCAAGAGCTTGATATTAACAATAACCAGAAAAAATGTGGAAGCATTCTGCCAGGTTGATCCATTTCATAATTTTTGCTAAAGAATTATTTATAGAAGGTTTACAACAGATGTCACAGAAGTATCATTGATCTAGGAAGGAAGGTGGTGAGGATTACTCATTTCTATGCCATCCTAGAGGATAAAATCATTACATTAGAAAAATTAGTTTATAATAATGTTTTGGCCTTTCTGTGAAGTTTATTTATTTGTTAAAAATTACAATGATTTGTGCAACGTATAATTTGCCTTTCAGCATCCAAAAACACTGGTCAGTCATGAGATCATGACACCCATAATGTAGGCTACTCTAGGCTGATGCATAAATAAGTAATTACAAGTATAATCAACAGTGGACCTATGTTAGAAATACATTGCAATTTCTTTACTGTATGTTTGATAATATTTGGTTGTTCAGGGCATGTGATGGGACAGGAAGGAGGGGGTTGCTAGCATTTCATCTATCATATTTTAGATACCAGTGGTTTCACAATGGTGGCTCTTTAGTGCTTTCCAGAGATAAGCATGTACTACTAATGATTATTTCTGGCAAATTTTTTAACATAAAAGATGGAACTGCAGGAAAATTTCTTTACCATGAAAATAATGTAATAGCTAGAAATCCTATGGACTTTTAATTCTAAATGGCACAAATAGTAGAATATTTAGTGCAATGACTTTTAAAATAGTTTTACACATGTATTGATGTGTAGAATTTAAGTTTATAAATGAGCAGGGAAGGTGTTTGTGCAAATTTTATAGCACCATAAAGGAAGGTATGCTAAAAGGAAACAGAATGACTTTTTAGCGCATGGAACATTTCCTATGATTCAAGACACTCACTATCCTAGAAACTTCATTGCAGAAAATGGTTCAATGTAGACTTTTATCTCTCAGCATCTGGAAAATAAACCACTTCAGATTCTTTTAATCAATGTGAAGAACACATTATCAAAAATGTACTTTCTAAGCTTTCTTCACGCTGATTAGATCACAGATAGAAACACCTTGAAACAGAAGAGCCAAGAAATGGCACTTAATTTAAAAGTTTCTCTGTAATTGAAAAAAAAAAAAAAAACCGTAACTATAAAGGACACTTCACTTTATCTCATTTTCTGTGTCTACATAGGTAAAATGGAGATAATTTCAAGCGTTCCTTTGACTTCTGGGGTTGAAGCTGTGACTGCCACTTAGGGAAGAATAGGTCGAAGGATTCATTTTAATTGCTTCTGCCTGGAATATAAAAATGAAATGAGTTGGCCTATGTGTATCAGTCAGCATTCCATTTCTGTAAGGAATGCCTGAGATGATCAACTTAGGAAAAGTTTATTTGGGCTCAGTTTTAGAGGTCTCAGTCCATGCAGTGCCAGGCTCTTTGCTTTGGGTAAGGACCACAAGATGGTAGAACATTTGGCAAAGCAAAACCGTTGAACTTATGACCGGGATGCCAAAGAGAAGAAGAACAAGAGACTCCAGTCTGATCATCCCCTTCACGGGCACATGCCTTGCCTTCTCTGAATGTCATCAAAATGCAGGGAAAGGGACTCTCTCCTTTGTCCAACCTGAGCTCAGCAGAGAAGAGGCATCTCTTCCTTCCCATGCCTACTTACCCCATCAGTAGTTTTTCTCCGCTTCTTTTTCGTTGGGACCAGGGACTTGCTGCTGACCGGCCAGCTCCAGAATACTTTGTAGTGGTGCACAGGGCTGTCTGGCTCCTCGGGGAAGTCCCAAACAATAGTCACGGTCACACTTCCATCACTGTTGATGGTGGAGTTGGCAAGCCGAACATTGGCTGGGGCTGGTGGTGCGGATGGATCTGAAGCCCAGAGGAAAATAAACATCTGATAGTGAGAAAGGGAAAGAAACTGCTCAAAAGCAAATAATGACTGCAATCAAGGAAAGGAGAAAATAAGATGAAAGGGGGGAAATATAAATATAATAATAATAATAATATAAATATAAATATAAAAATATAAATGGCTGGGATAATTGTACTATTAATTTCTATTGCTTTCTTGAAAGGAACAATTGATATTTAATTATTTGATTACTCTTGCATGTCCATATTCATTTATCTGAGTAACCAACATGAAGATAACAGTATGTAATACAACAACAATTGGCAAAATTTTGCCAAACACATTTTTCTTTGAGAACCAATTTTTTTTTTCAAACAGAAGCATTACTGAACTGAGGAATTACTGTATTTGGAAAAGAGATTATATGTAGTGACCATGTATAGACATTTTCCCCATGTCATTATTCCCTAAGCACTACAATGTAGCAACAAATTTTCCCATTGTGCTAGGCATAACAAGGGTTGGGCAGATGGCTGGAAGGATATTGGAGGGTGGTGAGTTATTTGAACACACTGCATGTACTGGATTGACAACTGGAGGTCAACTTCACACCCAGGTGAACTGAACCAGTGTGGTGCTTGCTGGGTGGGGAGGCCCACCTGAGGATTATTGCAAACAGCTTAAAAGGTAGAACTGAAGAAGGTGAGGAGAAGCTGTTAGAGAAGCTGTAGACAGCTGTTAGTTTTCCTGGAGGAGCTTGTCATGCTGGCTTTCCTGATATGAACTCTGCTGTTCTCATCATTGTAGGAGCTCAGGACCTTGTTTTCACTGAGAATGGCTACCATTCACTTTGGCGGAACTCTGGTCCTCACTTTGATCATTGCTTCCTGGCTCCAGAAGGGAAGCTGATGCACTGCTCAGTCTCCTTGAGAAGCTTGTTGCTTTGGCTTTCCTGATGGGAGCTTGGATATCCTCACTATCAGAGGAGCTCGGGACCTCACTGTCGCTGAGGATGGCTATGATACTTTTGTGGGGAGCTCTGGTTCTTACTTTGAGCATCACTTCCTGGCTCCAGTTCAGATCCTTCACCTTGCTAGCACAGATCCTTCATCCCAATGGCACAGACATTCTAGCTTCCACCACTGACCTTTGGACCTTCCCAGCACAGATCTGTGAATCAGACTTGTATGAGACATTGTCATGGTGTCTTGGCCTCCAGCTGGACTCGTGTGCGCATTGTTATGGGCTCTAGGTCTTCAGTTGGACTCATGCAGGGCGTTACTGTGGGATCCAGGCTCTCAGCCTGGATCATTATTGTGTCAACAGATTTCCTGCTCTCTCTTTCTATATGATTCTTTGGGTGACTATTATAAGAATAATTTTATAAAATATGTGTCCTGTATTGTATTGTTCCTCTTGCAAAATCCCAAACTACAACACTATACCACTTTATATAACGGACTGGCGTATCCTTGGATTTTGGTACACTTGGGGGTCCTGGAAATATTCTCCCAGGGAAACTGAGAAACAACTGTACTTTACTTTCTGTCTGCCTTCACTTATGAAAAATAGAAATTCTATGAGTGGAATAATTTTTGTGTTTACTTCAGTTGTATATCTTGGGATTCCACAAAAGTACCTAGCACACAGTAAGTACTTGGTAAATATATGTTCAGTGGATGACAGGTTACTTCTAAATGTGACCTTTGACTTGTAAAGTGATATTTAACTTTCTGGTTCAAACCTTGTCAGTTACAATTGCTAGGCTATAACAAGATCAAAAAGTTGACATGCAAAATCAAGGGTGTACTTTTCCCAGTTTAAAATAGAAAACTCAAAGCAACAGCTCCTGCTCTATTGCAAGATTCAGTGGTTAATGTACAAAAGGGAGCTACAGACCTTTAGGAGAGTAAACTCATTCACAAGTAAATCATCACTTCAAGGCAAGACAAAAACTAAAATATGTCACAATAACAGCCACTCATGTTCCCATATAAATATATTTCTGAAAAATTAGTAGTCACAGGAATTTTCCAGATATCATACACCCAACTCCTCACCATCATCTGCTAGTTGGGTGCGTGCCTGTAATGCCAGCACTCTGGAAGGCTGAGGCAAAAGGATTACAGACCAAGCCCAGCCCAGGCAATTTAGCAATACCCTGTCTCCAAAAATAAAAGGAGCTGTAGATATAGTTCTGTGTGAGTGCTCTGGGTTCAATCCTCAGTAACATAAAAAAAAAAAATCGTATCCTATTCTAAAGAAATTCCAACATCTTAGAAACATAACTGGCACTTGGTATTTCACTGTTTCCTTTCATCTATTTCATTCATTTTTTTTTCTTATGTGTTGAATGTAATGATAATAATCCAGAACAACATCATTCAGTGTATGCAATGTGACAGGACATGAAATAACATAATTCATGAAAACAATATGTGAGGAAATAGTATTTGCACAGGTGTTAATACTATTTGCTTTATATTTTCTTCAAGGTAGGGCCCATTTTGAGTATTTTCCATACCAAGATGGTGGATACCCATACTCCCAGCCTTTCTCCCTTAAAATAATCTTTGTTAAATTATGAAAGTCAAAAGAGATAGCTTGCATATAACAGTCAGTATATGCATCATTGTTACTACCTTTACATATTTTAGTCTGTGGCTCTATTCCAATAAAACTTTACTTACAGAAAAAGGCAGCAGCACAAATTTAAACTAAAGGCCATAGACTGCCAACTCCTAATCAAAATAGGAGCTGTGGTGGCATGAGCTTTATGCAAGTTTATAAGAATTTTATTTATTTCTAACTTTATTAATGGTTTTATGGAGGGTGAATAGATACAGTGAACTTTAAGTGGTATTATAGTAAAAGATATTACTATTAATCCCTCTCAGAATACTCTCCCTTGCTTTCAGCATAATTATTCAACTGTTTGTTGAAATTTTAGAAGCAGTTCTACAAGTCTTCTCTCATGAATGCCTCTAGTTATTCTGTTATGGCTGCCCCAGTGTCCTTGAATCAATTAAATATGTTAACCTTTCATGATCACTTTGACTTTGGGGAAGAGCTAGAAGTCATGCGGTGCTAGATCCAGCAGACGAGGACACACTCCTGTCTTTATGAGCCTGCCTTTCAACTGGATGACACTCAGCAGCAGCATTCATCATATTTTTGATCATCGTTTGTAAAGACACTCACAAAAGAGGACTCCTAGAACTGCTTTGGAAAGTGGCCAGAAGGATGGGAAAAGTGTGTTCACAGTAGGAGGGAGGGGTATTTTCAGGGGAATCAACGTCAATGTGTCTTTTACTGAAATAAATTGTTTTAATTTTCATTTAAACATTCATCATACGTTTTGGTCACAACATGTACCGTAGTCAATTAAATGTTGACGTAACAGTTTCCATCTTAAAGATGAGAGAGTAGAGGAGCAGAAAGTTAAATTCCCTAGCCCAGGGGTACACAGTGGGAAGATCCAGTTCACACAATGAGAGCAGAAATCTCTCAGCTCCTCTTTTTTTTTTTTTTTTTAATTTTTCTCCGGTACTGGGAACCGAACTCACGACCTTGCGCTTGCCAGATAGGCGTTTTTGCCGCTGAGCTAAATCCCCAGCCCCATCAGCTCCTCTTTCTGAAGCCCAGATCAGGGCATTTCTCCCTCATCTCACTTCTTGTCCTGCTTCCTTCCTTTCTCTCCAAATTCTCACTATGATCTGCAGAAACATCCCCGAGAGCAGAAGGCCAGTGCACTCTTACACATCACAGAAGTAGCAAGGCTGTTTTAGCTCCTACTCAGGTACAACTTGCATGATTTCTGACGCAAAACTACACTGGCTGGAGCCGGGTGTGGTGGCGCACTCCTGTAATTCCAGCACTCGGGCGGCTGAGGCAGGAGGATAATTGTGAGTTTGAGACCAACCTGGGCTACAATAGACTCAAGGCCTGCCTGAACTACATAGCGATACCCTGTCGCCAAAAGACAAAAAAAAAAAAAAAAAAAAAAACTGTTTAGTGGATATAACTAATTTCAGCCTTGTAGAATAATACTTTGACTTTTCAGTGACTCTGGGCAGTGTTTCCGGCAAAGGTAAATGGACCTTTTGGCTTTCAGATAGGCTGCTTTCATGTTTTATCACTCGACATTTGTGAGCTAATACCACAAGTAACGAAATCACAGGCATGGAGGTTTGGTACAATGCAAAGACTCCGGGCCCACAGTGGGCAAAGTGACAAATGAAGTTACTTATCACCCTCGGCGAAATGCACGGCTATTATTGCACTGACGTACTATCTCATGGGAAAGGACCACGGCTGCCTGTCTTGGGAGAAACCCCATCACTCTGTGGGAGGTGGGCTCCTTTAGGTTCTCAGATAATAGCAGTTTTTATATAGAAACCATCCCTATGTATCAAAAGAGCCGCTACTTGAAAGAAAGTACCCATTAGCAATAATCACAGGCCAGCCATGCACACACACAGGAACGACATGCATTTCAGGAAGAGGAATATTGATTTGGCTTCTTTTATTTCTGTCACTGAAATATTTAGACTAAACTTTCCACTGAAAAGTATCCTAGCAGCACCTCCTTTTAAGGTATATATATATATATATAACCATAATGATATATGAGTATGTCCCAAGTTTATTTTCCCTTTTTAAAATTTTACTTGTGTTTTCCGAGGTGTTTGTGGTAGATGGAAAAAATTCCTTCTTTTTCCCCTTGGCCGAAACTTAAATGATCAAGACTGACTCCCTACCTCTCCCCAAATGCACTTGACCATTTCTTATTCTTCACAGGCTACGACTGTGAAAGGAAACACTCTAAAAATAATGTTAAACCATTAGAAGACTGGTAAAGCTGTAGTTCTGGAGCACAACAGGAAAATATAAGCTTTACTGAATAAAAATGTGCCATTTAGAGGGAAATATATCAGTCACCATTACAGTGTTTCAGGAGAGGAGGATACAGCTCAACAGTGGAATGCCTGCCTGGCAAGCACAAGTCCTGAGTTCGAGTCCCAGTACCCAAACAAAACAAAACAAAATAAAACAAAACAAGACAAAGCAAAACAAAACCATTAGAGTGTTCTCTTTTTCCTGCTTTTTAAAATATGTCCCAAGTTCCACTTAGGCAATTGTAACAATAAGATCTTTCATGCATTACTGTGAACCATCTTAGAGATCAATATAAAAAGTGGGGCTGGGAGTATAGCTCAGCAGAATGGTGCCTGCCTGGCAAGCATGAGGTCGTGAGTTCATTCCCGATACCAAAAGAAAAAAATAGACTCCATTTCTTAAGACTTTTTCTTGGAAATGTCTTCCTCAGAATGTTCTGTATGACCCTCAGGCACTTCCTTTAGAGGAAGCTATTGATTGGGGGTGGGGGTGACACCGGAAGTGACACCGGAAATCGTACGTCTGGTAGATAAGAAAGCTGAGTTCTCCCACCTTCCCATGTAGCTTGAGCTTTTCTTTAAATGAGGAAAGATAGTGGGCTCAGTCCAGTGTGGTTATGATAGACATGGTCAGAACTGGTCAGCATCAATTCTGAAACGGGGCTGATGGGATTTGATGACAGGTTGCATTTGACAAATGCAAGCAAGAGAAGATTGAAAGATCTTTTGGGGATGATGGACTCAGTCTAACGTCAAGTGTTGGTGATGTTTGCACGGTTCATTGGGTTAAAATGCATCTTTTTGTAAGCTTGTACTCTTACAATGGGTGAACTTTATAGCAAGTAAGTTATATTTCCTGAAGTTGCCAGAAAAATATTTCCCAGTAAGGGTCTTTGCCCGGCTTGGTAAGATTAAGGTGCCAACATCTTATTAGGGATGAAGCCTCCTTTGGACAGATTCAGGAGGGAAAGTCTTCCACGTTTGGCTAATCTGTCACACTCCCTCCCTTCTGTGAGGCGTCTTTACTGAACACCTAACAGCATCTACTCTGAAGGCCGTGCTCACTTTTTCAATGTATGAGAATGCAAGAACTGAAGCCTGGAATCCTTCTCCCAGGGAGATGTATGCAAGCACGAATCAGGCATATATGTAAAAGTGGGAAATAGAACATTTTGATGGTGACCACCATGGAGTCAATTCAAATAGAAGGGCTGCAGCTGTAATTCTGGACTGCTAAGTTTCCAGGATGTTCTTGGAAATGTTGAGATAGCACAGATTTGCTACTTTCAGTTAGCAAGACAGGCTCAGGGGACTGATAGGGCATCTAATTGTCTCCTGACTGCAAAGGCTCATGAAGGCAAGGTCACTTTTCACACCTCCAGGAGGTTGGGGGCACTCTCACTCTTGCAGCATCTGTCCACAGAGGGCTGTTCGTGTTTGATGTCAGAGACTGCAGTCTTCTTGTAAGAGCACAGTCCAGTGCTGAAGGCCATCGAACAGATGGTAACCCATTTTGACCAGGATGTGTCTGGACTGCATTTGAACCGTGAAAGCAGCGCAGAGTCCTCGAGCCTTTTATTGATTCCTGCCCCCTAACCTACCATTAATTATTCACTGCACTGGCCGCGCTAAACGATCAGACCAGCTGGAGACAGTCTTGTCTTAAGACAAGGTTTGATGTGTTTATTTACAATGTCACTTCAAAGCTTGCTGAGATGTTGTACTTGCCTTCCTGAGAAGGAAAACACACACACACACACACACACACACACACACACCTTTATCTTTCTTTAAAAAGAGACTTTTATGAAACAGAGTTAAAAAACTATCATGTATACTGTAGATACCCAAATATTAAATTATCTTGATTGCAAGTTTTGCCCTTGAGACTTGAGATTGTACAGAGATTAGTAAATAGCAGTGTTACATATTTACCAATATTATATAGTTGCAGTATCATAGAGGGAAAAAGGGATAGACTGAGATGTACGTATTTCCAATCATGGAACAGGAATTGTGGTCTATAGCAGCTACACTATTGATGTTATAAGTCTTACATTATTGCTTAATACCATAATGCATTCAGTTTGAAGTAAATACAAACTTACTTCCATGTAAGGAGATAAGTCCTGGTTAGTAAATAAACATGGCTAGCCTGTGTCTCTGAAAGCAGATCTTGATGGGTCAAGCAGAAGTTAAATACACTTGAAGGTGTGCAGTCACTTTCATGCTCACAACTGGAAAGATAAACCTCAAGATATCATTATTACCTGGGTAGATGCTGCCCTTCACCTTTTACAGAGCACACTAGCCCCAGTGTGATAGAGTATACATATTCATCCAGTCCCAAGCAGGTTTTAAACTAGCAAATGCATAGGAACACAATAAACGTATATCCATGATCAGACAACTCAGGGCAGGCTAAAAACTCTGGATGTTATAGAAAAAAGGTAAGAGTTTAAGTCACATTCAGTTCAACAATAGTTTCAAGAAAGGGCATGCTATCTATTTTTGCGGGGTGGTGTGGGAATCGAACTCATGACCTCATGCTTGCCAGGCAGGCGCTGTGCCACTGAGGGTATGCTATCTAAAGTAGCCAAAACTTGGCATTTCTCCTCTAAAGTTAAGTGAATGCTGCTTGATACAGAATACCTTTAAAAAAAGAAAAAAAAAAAAAAAAAAAAAGAAACCCAACAGAATTTAATCATGGAGAATCCTCCCTTCAAAGTTTCAACACCACCAGTATATTATTTTCTGAGACACCTAGAAGGTGAGATCCCCCTGATGTCCTTAATCATAAATTTCCATGGTGCCTCCAGACACATCTGGTCCCACCTGTCATCTAAGAAAATCGAAGCCACCCATTGGCCAGCCACCCCCATGGCTGTGGCCATAAGGAATCTCCACCCCATACGTGCCTGCCCAGGAGCAAGGTGCATGTCCAGTGTCACGGCAGGAAGGGAAAACTGACCTTTGGAAGAGCGGAAGTGTTTGCTGGGTGCTGTGAAGCCTCGGGTGCCATGCACGTTGACAGCAGCCACCCGGAACTGGTACCACCGGCTAGGTCTTATGTCCATCAGCTGCACCTGCTCATCTGTGGTCTGAGGGAAAATGTCACAGGGCACAGGGAACATGTGACTTGTTAGTCTGATGTGTCAGTTGGGTTTGTTTCTAAAAACTCACAAACACATGGCCAGTGCAACTCAGGATGGATTTCTATATTAGTTAACCAAGGTCATCAGGCCCTGATATGAGAATAGTGTTGGTGCAGATGAGGACAATTTTCATATTTTATCCCAAAGAGTCATGCACCTCTGAAAGTAAAGTCCATGACAAACGCTTGGGTTGTTCTTAACACTGATGACTGAACTGAGCATCTCAAGGTTTAATCAGTAAAGGATGTGCATGAAATCTTTACATTATAAGCAAGAAAACAAAATATTTCTTAGATTATAGAAAATAAAGTGACTCTTCAAAGTATGCCAAAATATAATTCTGAAGACAGTGCTGGAAGGATGTAAAATAAAAACTCCGTACACTTAAAAGAATGTTAACAATTTCTGGATGTAAATTGTACCTCAATTTATAGATGGATGGATGGATGATTGGATGGATGGATGGATAGATGGATGGATGGATGGTTGGATGGATGGTTGGATAGATATATAGATGGATAGATAGATAGATAGATAGATAGATAGATAGATAGATAGATAGACAGATAATTGGTAGATATAGATGTATGACAGAAAGGAAGAGAGAAAGAGAGATAGACAGAGTTAGAGAGAGAGAGGGAAGGAAGAAATTTGAGTAGAATACATACATCTGTGAAGAATTGGTCCTACTCTTCGTGATCTGAGATTTAGACTCTGGGGAAAAGCCAGAAGTTGCACAGTACCAGATTCAGTGACTATGGCAGATGCAGATACAGTGTCATATTTTTACAGCATGTTTTATATTGGATGGCGCCCAGCAAGAATATCCACCATATGTTTTCTCATACCTCCTAACAAACTGCTTCCCAATATGGCAAGAACGGTGAGATAACTGTGTTGGAGGCAAAGTTGAGGGTATCTTGAGGAGGATTCAAACCAAATTATCTTTCAGCATAATAAATTGTTTTTGGTGTAGGCATTGGTTGTACCATTTTTTGATTATACCTCATGTGTTAAGTATACTCCACCCTCTGTATCTACCAGTTCCACATCCATGGATTCAATCAGCCTTATTTTCCAGGGAAAATACTTGGAAAAGAATTGCGTGTGTACCAAGCGTGTATAAAATGTTTTCCTTGTCATTAATCCTCCAACGATGCAGTGGAACAAGTCTTTATAAAACATTCAGGTAGTGGTAGTTATCAGAGGTCATCTAGAGAGGATTTTAAGGGTACTGAAGGACATGCAGAGGTAACATGCAAGTGCTATCACATAAAGGATTTGAGCACCATCCGTTTTGAGGGAACCTGGGACCATGGCTCCCCTTGATACCCAGGAACAACTGTAAACCCTTGGCCAATAAATATCCAAAGGAAAAAGTGTACACTGAGAAAGGTCCGTAGTTGTTCCTGTCTCTGCCGATGTGGATCCAAGGGACGCAAAGGCTTTGGCAGTCTTTCCACTTCACAGCTGCTTTTGGCAAGGCGTGATGGGTGGACCCATCACCCAAGCACTCACTTGTGCCTAATGTACCTGTCCCACAGTGAAACTGGGAAATAGCATAGAACTGGGGCCTTCCCATACCTAGGTTTACAGTAACTTACAGGAAAGGGTCATAGTGTCTATGTCAATATCTAAGAGTATTTCTGAGCTCACAGAGATAAACACTTCAGAGAGCAAATGAACATGACTTAAACACTCCTTGCCACCTGATTAGGCTACATTTGGGAAAACATTTCCAGCTGACTTCATCATTTAGAGTCCTTCCCATGAGTTTTAAAAGCTTAAAGCTAGAATAATAACCACCGTGTTTCACAAAGAATGAGAATTACATCAGCATTAACTGGCCAGATAATTATAACAGTTACACTGATAATAACTGAAGAGCTTTCTTCTTCCCAAAAAAGAGGGGATAAAAGAGATAATGTGATGGTGAGTTTTCACATCTTTGAATAATTTAGAAAATTTATACATGAATCTGCACCATTATTTATGGGTACCAGGCATGTCATTCAAGTGGAATTACATGAATTTTAATCTGTATTCTGAATAGTTTAAAATTTCAGTGAAATAAATTCTCTTTCATGACAGATATATGAACTGTAATTACTACATTTATCTGCCTAGGTCTCAGAATTTTTTCTAACTTCAGGTGTTTCTTTTACAACAAACTTTGAACCTATTTATCTTGGGGTCTTTGTTTTAGCTAAACACTATACTTTTTGAGATTTCACTATTGAGAAAAAAAAAAATTCTTCCAAACACCCAAATACTCTTGATTTTATATTTACCAAAAAAGGGGAAGAATCTCATCCCTGATAAAAACTTATTACTTTAGGCCCCCAATTTCCCCTATCATCACAGCTGTGCAGGGGGACATTTAGTTCTTAAAAAGCACAAGGCGATTTCTCATTGAGAACCTACTCTTTGTTTTTATAACCACTTTTGTTTTTACTTTTGTCTTTGTATTTTTTTGCAGAGGGAAGTCCATTTAGCAGCTCTTAAAAAGAAAGAAAATATTTTGCTTTTCTCATCAAGATAGATGAGAAGGCAGTGGCGTTAAGATAAACTCTAGGAGTGTTTCCACTCAGCTAGTGTATTCATTTTTAAGTGGACTAAGACAAAGAAGAAAGCACTTAGCACAGATTTAAGAGCTGTTGGCTACTTCCCACTACAGGAGCTTTGTGATCTGCATCTTGCACCATACTCCCAAGGAAAGGCTTACATGTAGGACCAATAGAAAAGAAATCACAGAAAGGATTAAATAGCAGATCAGAGCTGACATGTTGGGTTTGAACATACCAGGAAAAACATAGCTCTAGGAAAGAAACAAACATGAGCAATCAGATTATATTTTCTCCTTTCTCCATGTATCTTGAGCTAGTAAACCAAGAGCTAGCTTTCCAGGTATCTCCAGCCCCTCCATGGCTCACCCTCTCTGCAACACACAGGCATGAGGCTGTTCGCGTACCTGATTGATCTCTGGAGCCCAGCTCTCCTGACAGAGGTACTATGAGTTAGTTGGCTGTGGGTGTCCAAACTGTGCACTGGACACTTTTGCAAGGGGAAACACGAAAGAGGCCCTGAAGCACTTACCTGGGCCACTGTCTGCCACTGCGTGGCGTCGTCTTCACTGGGATGGATCCCATAGTTCCACCTTCTTTGGACCACATAGATCACTGGCTCAATGGAAATGTTGAACTTCGAGGACCACTTAATCTCCAGCTGCCCAGACTTGAGCTCAGTGAACCTTAACTCTTTTCGGGGCTTCAAGGGGACCCCTGAAACAAGACCGTGTTATGCTGGTTAAAACAACCTGCATGGGACTCACATGAAAGGAAGAGGCGAAGAAGGAAGTCTGTGGAAGACGCAGCACCATCTGCTGATGGTGGATGTTATGCTTGCTTCCAGAACGGTGGTCCTTCTGTACCAGATTTCATGGTGGAAGTCTTTTGGTTCAAGTTCAGTCCATCACATATAAAGACCATTGGAACTTGTTCTTTTCGCTTTTCCTTAGCCCCCACAGATAGTCAAAATCAACCGCTGTGCCTAACATAGCTATTTCTCCCTATGTATCTCCAGCATCACCCTTTCATGTGCACGGCAGTGAATTAATAGTGCTAAGAGGTTCTTCATGGAGCTTAACAGGGACTTCACACAAAGCGGATAGCCTTTATAAAAGAGGGTTGAGTCCTCTCCCCATGTCTAACATGTTCCGTTTCTATGGCTACGTACTAAGGTCATTATAACATGGTTCCAGGGTTTGGTGTGTTGGCCATCTCAGGGAAATTTCCCTTTCAGGAAAAAAAAAAAAAAGAAAAGAAAAAAATAGCAAAGCTAAATCTCATGTGATCTGATCTCATGCGTGTGCTTTCCAAAGCGCGAGCCTTTTGGATTCCAAACAGACTGCTTGGGAAGTCCCCTATTGACGCAATGGTTTACAAGCGAAAAAATGATCAATTTAGAAGGCTTGGTTTTGGCATGCTGGAGTGCCTTGCTTCCAAAGTCCCCCGCAGGTAGCTCATTTTAAAGAAGTTAATCATTTTGATTTCTAGTTTGAGGATTGAACCCAGGGCCTTCTTACTGAGCTATATCCCCAGCCCTTTTTAAATTTTTATTTACTTATGTATTTTGAGACAGCCTCTTGCTAAATTGTTAAGTTGCCCATGGTGGGCTCAAACATGCCATCCATCCTCCCAGCTCAGCCTCCCACAATGCTGGGATTATAGGTGTGCGTCACCACATCTGCATGCATTCGGATTTCTTGAAAGAAATTTTGAAAAATACCTCCACTAAGATCTAGTGTTTAGAGCTACAGTTTTAAAATTTTTCAGCTGCTGGGAGACCAGCATGCACATCAGGGGGATAAAGGAATCCATAACACGAAGAGGATACGTACAACTAAATGACTTAGGTAGAATCAAGGACAACGTAACACAAGAACCCTGGGCACCCTTAACAGCATTTCCTCTTGCAAATGGGCATTTGCCAAAGCGCTGCAAATCCACTTGAAAGGTCCACTTCACAGTGCTCCACTTATTTTTCCATTCCTTCAGTTTAATCGAAGGGAATTGCGGAAAATGTGCAAACACAAAATGTAAATAAGATCTGATGCACATTGGTGTTGCAGCTGAATCTCCATTTCATTTCATTTTGATCTGAACTCATGCCTGTTGGAGAGGTTTTAAACTCATCAAATGTTTAGTGGGATAGTGTCAGATGATGTAAAATGCAGATTTATACAGAAGCCAAAGGTCACTTATTTTTTTCAAAGAAATATTTTCTAGGGGACACATTTACCATTTTCATGGCATTTTTCATTTTGCTTTGCAGTTGGATTATGGCTGCATATGGCTGGTGAATTCCACAAATTCAACTCACTAGAGCCTGTGAAACAGGTGAGTGAACACTGAGGAAGATTGATTAAGTTGCCTGGAGCTGTGACCCGATCTCAGGTTTCTCTGTCAATTCTCTACCTCTTTTCTATATTTCAAATTAGGAAAAGCCACCCAGAAAAGCAGAGAAAAGAAGTGGCTTTTGATAGAGATGCAAACCCTCTCAACAACTGGTTTTATGATGCCCCCTGCTCCCCTGGTTGGCACAGACCTTCGCTAAGTCACGTCTGGCTTCTGGTCAGCCACGACTTGAGGGTTTTCCAAGCCAGGATCATATACTTGTATTTTGAGTGCATAACCCGTACAATGAAAGCTACATTTCATGGCTAGATTATTTCTACTAAGCAAATGCTCCCCAGTCCCTGGCTAAGGTGAAAGCCAACGTTTCCCCCTGCCTGTTAAATTTCTCTGCACATGCTCCATCTTAATTTCTTCTCTCCAAAATAGCTACTTCTCAGATATGTGTCTTCACAACAGTGCAGTTTCTTAGGATAGAGTTTTTATTTGTTCATGCGCCCACCACCATTGAGTTGTTTATTGCATAGTACATTTCCAGGAATTGCCAAGTCATCAGTCTCCACAGTGATGGTGACCACCCACTCCTCTTCATCCCTCTGAGCTTCAAAATGGCCTTCAAACCCTTCTCCTTATCAATCTCCCTACCAGCCTCTTTTGCTAATCCACTATTCGTGATGTACTCTGATTATTTTCTAAATTGGAAGTGAGACCCTCTTCTCCATCTTCTTAGGCCCTCTCCTTGCATCTTAATTTCTCCAAGATGAAGGTGAACTCTCTGTCTCTCCATCTCTACGATCACCTCCTACTTATCTTTCAGCTCTTCCCATGGTGCATCTTACATTTTTGCACAGAGCCTGTCTTTAAACCCAGCTTTCCTAGAAACACACAGTTAATTCCTTCCTATGACCATTGCCTGCTCGATTTTTTTAAACCCTGAAAAATCTTTCCATCTATTTTCTGACTACAGACACTTAAATACTTCCAGGTTCAGACAAAATACCACCACCTGTGACGCTTCCCCTGAAGTTTCTGAATAGAAAGAAAAGCCCCATTCTTATGGCCCTCTCCAAGGTTGGGCCTGTTACTGTCAATATGTGCGTTTAACTGCCCCGTGATGCAAAATGCTCATTTAACGATGTCTGTCTTCCTCACTAAGTGACAGCCCCAGGGGTCAAAAGCCATGTCTGTCCTTCTCTGCTCTCAGAATATCCCCAGGGGAACTCTCTGCGATTGCAAATGTAAAGCAAATGTTTGCTGGAGGCATCACCTTGCCTACTTTTTCACTACTCAAGAATAAGCCAGGAGAAACAGGAGGATACTGAAATATTTACGCAAACCTTTGTATCAGTGACTGCTCCCTCTGCTCAAAGGTGACTTAGGGACAGGAGAAACTTATCACAGGTATTTTGTGATGATTTCTCAAGGAGATATTCAATCACTCTCTCCATCACTTTTGCTTTTTAAAAAGGTAAATACCAAGAGACAAAGCACTGTTGCTAGCTGTGCTGGTGGACGCTTATAATCCCAGCAGGAAGATTGCAAGTTGAAGTCCAGCAAGTACAAGTTTAGTGAGGCTCTTTCTAAAAAAAATAAAAATAAAAAAATAAAAATAAAATAAAAATAAAAGGACTAAGGATATATAGCTCAGTGCAAAGGCACAGAGTTCAATTCCAAGACACACACACACACACACACACACACACACACAAATGTCACGTAAAAAATGTTCACAACATAATCAGGCACTGCATGTGACACATACCTGTAATCTCTGCACTTGGAAGTTGATGTAAGAGATCACAAGTTTGAGACTGTCTCAAAATAAAAAAATAAAACTGGTCGGGGGATGAAGCTCAGCACTAAGGCCCTGGGTTCAATCCCTGGTGCCATAAAAAAATTTAAATATAAGACAGTTTTATTACATGGGCCGCAGGCTTTCCCATATTAAAAAAAAAAAAGTCCAGTTAGGATAGAAATCCCAAAGTTAACTGGTGTTTGGTTTTAATTCACAAATACCTCGTTCTTGTGTGAAGAAAAAAAGTAAAACAGCAAAATTTGATCAAAATGACCATTGTGAATAATTTGTACATTCAAGAGAGCCAGGCGGATGCCAGATAAGTAATTCCACTGAGGTGCAGATTCAGTCGAGAATATTTCATGATTTATTTGTTTTCTCTGTGACTAGTTAATTCTGCAAGCTGCTAGAGGGCAGAGTTTCCAAGACTTCCAAATCCACCTTTCTCCTTGGCTGCCCAGTGTCTAATCCTCTAGAATGAACGTGGTCATATAAGTACTCAAGATGCTCAACTAACCTGAACTCACCGGAAGCAAATGCAAGCATTCAATAACCAATGACCTTCCTCGGTCATAAGGACAAAGTCACTCAAATTTCTTCATTTACACCTCTAACTATGACGGTCAACGCTCCTACAACACCCATGTTAAGAAACGGTCCATCTGCTTTACATTAGGATTCATGGGCTCCCTTGATTGGAAGTAACTCCAGTGCTTTGTGGTAATTGTGTGCAGATGGGACGCGGCCCCCCAGACCTGCTGCCCCCACTGCCTGCATAGGTCCTCAAGACTGAACCAGTCTCCAGATTGCAGAGCCAGATGTGTAAAGGGGGTCTCTTCTCTATGTGGTTTCTCTTATGTAAATGATTAGACTGTTCCTTCTAAAAAATGATTTCTCAACAAATTAGTCACCCAGGTTTAGACCTGGAATCTAAACTATTCTGTCGAAGAATTTTAAAATGTTATCATATGTCACTCCATAAAATGAGACAAAAGAAGCACTTTATTTTTTTAAATGCAAAATGCATTTTGGTGGAGTAAAAAAAAAATAAAAGTACAAATCCAGTGCTTTAAAAGATGTTCAAAATACACTGGGAGAAAAATGAATAGTGATATATGATCAGAAGTTGCATATCCATATCCAGAATTCATTATAAGTGTAAATAATTTCTGTTGTGACTCTCAATGATATGAAAATGTAGTGAGATATAATGTTCTAGCAATTCAATAATCAACCACTAGGTACCCTCTCATAAGATAGTCAGCACTACAGGAAATTGTATGTATACCATGTGCAGGTATTGGACAACTGGATTCAGAACATTAAAAATTCTTTTGTGAGAAGTTGTATTACTCCGTCTCCAAAGGCCTGCACTTAGAATTTCAAACACTGAGATATTGGTGGAAAGTATTAAATTCATTCAATGATTGTTTTGAAAAAAGACTCATGATTAATCCTTGATTTGTCCAGCACAAAGGAAAAATATACACAACAGAAAAGTACAAATTAGTCTGAATCTTTGTCCAAATCTTCAACTGTTCTTCTCTATTCAATTGCCACAGCATGAAGTCAGAAAAGCCAGTGGGATTTGCCAGCAAAATAATTAAACATTTCTCTTTCTGGAGGGAAAACTAACTGAGCTACCATAAACTCAGGAAGAAAGAGGAAATGAACCCCAAAGCAACCATTTATGTTCTAATGTATAGAAGACCAGCTTTTTCAACTTTCCACAACTATATTAAAGTTTCCACTTCATAGCATGAGTTCCGGCATGCTAGCTTTTGAAGTCTTTTATTGCTATGCTCATCATTTTAACTGAAAAATAAAAGAATAGCTCCTGTCTGCTGTTTCAAACTATACCACGAGACTAGTAAAGGTAACTTACTTGGAGGCATTAGTTAAGGATGATTCTTCCAGAACTACCCAACTTCAATGCTCAGACATAATGGAAAATTTTGTTGCTCAAGACTTCAAAACACTCATTGTTCAAAAAGCTCAAATTTTCAGCGTATAAACTTTTAAAGCTTTAAAATCTGTATGCCTCATCTTTCTTCCCACAAACACAGTAAATCAAACAGAAAGTATATGTTTCTATAGTTTTAACATGTTTAAACATCAAACTCACAAATGATTGCATGAAAGACATTTCAGGGGTCAGTACATTTCCATTTTTTTCAAACATTAAAGTAATTTGCATATTTAAATAAGTCTTATGTGCATGATTAGCTCAGTAATAAACTAATGAACAAGTGGACAGGGTTACAGAGGTTTTATATCCTTTGTTGTCCCCGCCCGCCACAAGACCTTTTATTGGACACTGCAAACCAGAAGCAATAAACAAATGTTTATTCTCCTCAAATGTATTAGTACTGATAGATGTGGGCGGCATCAGCTCCTCTTAAATTTAAAATAGGGGAAAATTAAGCAAATGTTCTTCAGGACTACCAGACACCAGCCACCTACAGGATGACACTTTAATAAATTTAATAACCAGTGAACAAGAAGCTCTTGTGAAATCTACAATTTACTCGTTATTTGTACAATAAAATTTGGTCCTCCATAATATATCCTCTATAGCTAACTTAAAGTGCTTCAAGTTTACAAGCTTTAAAATCTTAAAATCTTAAAATTACAAAGTATTTGACAATAAGTCTAATGAGGGGGAAATGCTATGTTACTCATTACCTGCCAATGTTGATGAACTAGTGAAAAATACTAAAAGGGCTAGGAGTGTAACTCAGTGAATCCTTTGGGTTCATTTCTCCATATTGGAAATAAGTGGGTAATGGCCTAACTTCCGGTTGACCTCTTATAAAACAATACAGTGATGCCCAGTGGCAGCTTTGGCACACTGGATACAGTTCTCTCATTGGATACAGGTCGAACAGAACTGACAGGAGAGCTGGCCCAGTGGGAACAGGTGTAGTATGCATTTCTTCTACCAGCAGTCAAATCACTTAGGACAGCCTGCGACCTCAGTTTCCACAGCCACAAACTGAAAGCAGGGTCGCTTTGTCCCATCCAACCACAGATCCCACTCGTGTAGGAAAAGTGTCACCCAGGCTAAGAGGAGGCAGAGAGAGGCAAGGAAGCCTGCTTCACACCGGTTTGCTTGGGGACAATGAGAAAGCTGTTGTGAAGGAAGACAGTGACATCAGGCACCCCTAGGAGGCCAAGGTGATTCTGTGTGTTCACTGGTTCTGTGCAGTTTTCCTCCTGGAGGAGCCTCGGGCAGGGCCAGACCGGGAGCTTTCCCTGGGTCCCGGCCGGCAGCAGGAGGCGCCTTTCTGAGAGGAGCAAGCAGCTGGCCTTGAGGCTCACAGCATCAACAGCACCTCAGGGGCCGATTCCCTGAGAGGTCCTGGGAAGGTTGCCCTGGGTTCCATCTGACCTCCCTCTGTCACACACGCTAACCTATTTGCTGGTGGGACATCGGTGGAGAGCAGCCTTCCCTGAGGGGCTACCTGAACAACAGAAAGATGTCTACCTGTGTGTGTGTGTGTTTTATGATGAAAAACTACAGTGAATATTTAAATGGAAAAATGTATTACTGCAAAAGCCACATTGCCATAAATCCCTTTCAAAATAATCCCCGTCATTTCAAACACATTCTGGTCACTTTGTGAAGCAGTTCTAGAAGTCCTCTTTGGTTGCCTCAATGTCCTGAATCAGTTCAAAAAAAAATTTTTTTGGGGCACTGGGAATCGAACTCAGGACCTTGCACTTGCCAGGCAGGTGCTTGTGCCACTGAGCTACCCTTGCTCTCAAAATGTTGATGTTTCACAGTCATTTTGACTTTGAGGAAAAGTCAGCAGTTGCACAATGTCACATCGAATGAATAAGGTGGATGAAGATTTTTACAAGCTAGCTTTTCCATTGGATATCACTCAGGAGCAGCATCCATGGCATTTTTTTGTCATAGCTGGTAGAGAAACTCAATAAGGAGCACTTCCAGAACTGTTTCAGAAAGCAGCAAAAACAATACAGTGTATTTGAAGTGAGCAGAATTCTAAGGGGGATTCATGGAAATTTGTCCTGTACTGTAATAAATTTTTACTGTAACCATCCACCATATATTTTGATCACACTGTGTGTATGTGTTTAAATAATAACAGATTGCATTCGCCATGCCATTATGCAAAGGCATTAGCAGATCCATTAGTAGTTCTCCATGAATTCCTGCTTCCAACAAAAATAGAAGTTAAGGGGTACTTTGTTAGGTCTTTTTAAAGGTAAATTCAGCACTTTCTTTAAAAGTCCAGCTTATGTAGTTAATCATAGGTTTGAGGTGCAAGTGTGTTTATATAATCAATCATTTATTTTGGCCCTTCTAAGAAGATTCTTATTATTGGTGAAATAGATGTATTTGAAATTCATACCAACTCTCTACACTTCTTATTTAAAAACTGCACATTTTAATTTATATTCCTTTTTCAAAGTGTTCTACATTTAAAGCATTACGGGATTTACAAATAGGCTTTATCACCCTAAAGACATTCTATTTTTACAGTAAAATCTAATACATAGCATGTAAACTATAATAGGAAACATTTCATAATATCTGACATTTTAGAAATTAAATGATTTTAGATTCTACAAAAACATTTTGATAAAATTTACAAGATGTGAAGACAATAGCAGTTTAAATATAGTAAAGAAATATCGCTCAGTAAGGGAAAAGCAGTAACTAGTTTCAATTTAGGAAGTGATAATTTTGCTAGGTTGCCGATAGTCCTAGGAAAGAGTTTATAATACAGAAAATTTCTTGGACTATACTAACTTCAAAGAAACAAATTTGAGAGGCAGAGTTAAAGGGAAATGAGGCAGGTATATTATTTCTGGGATAAGCACATTACTATGAGTGTAAGAGACTTCTAAAAATAGCCGGAAACTCAAAGCTAGTATTGTTAATGAATGCTGTTTTACATGTATTTTATTTAAAAAATTACCTGCAGTTACAAATAATGTAATTTGGCATATGCTTATTAAGTAAGCGAGGAAAAAAGATATTTAGTATGCTTATTAAGTAAGTGAGGAATAAAGATTTCTCTTTTTTCACTTGTAATGAATAATGCTTACTGCTTGATTCTACTTCACTCTTCAGATTACACCAAAAAGTTAACAAAATATTCTACGTTAGAGTATACCCTGATAGCACCCAGAAGTAGACATGGTACAAAAGAGTCACATTGAAAGAAAAAGGCAAATAGCTCTTAGCCTTAAGAAGTTAAGTGCTCTAGAATTTGCTTTTGAATGTAAACTATTATAGTGGAGAAATATGCGATCAGTTGAGTCCTCATCTTTTGGAAGAGGGAAAGAATTCCCTCTGCTTAGAATCTCAACATACTCATCAAAATATTTAACATTTACACAATGACACTCCTGATCTTGGATTCTGCCAAAAGAAAAGCTATATTACAAGTACATCTATTGTGCGTTTTTGAAGTGTGGACCTCAACTCCAGCCTGTTTCTAGGGATTTAAATCTGTTTATTCTAACGCACCCAGCAGAGTTTAATTGATTTATTCTTCCAGGCAAAATAATATACAAAATAAAGTTCTCACATCGCTGCTACTCCACATATATGCTAAAACATTTATGTCTGATTTATTCCACCTTGAGCTTATTGTGGCTAATCTCTAAGACCCATGAATATTTTAACATATCAGTACATGGCACAAAATAAATTTCCTTAAGGTTTAGTATGTTGCCGGCATTTTTCCACGCGTGATTGACGCACTTTCTCTACGCACACACCAGCTGCTGTGAAGGAAAGGTGTTTCGTGTCCTCGGTGCTGCTTACCTTTGTACAGAGTCTTGGGCACCTGGCAGGTGTACCCACACCCATTAGAGCAACACTTTTTCACCCCGGAGCACTCATTGTCAACCTCACAGCTCTCCACGCAGGCGGCAGCGAAGCCACTGGCTTTCTCGGGAGCCGGGCAATCCCCTTGTTTCACCAGGAGGATGTACTTCAGGAACTCACAGCTGGTCAAGCACTCATAGTTCTTCTTGGGGAACAGAGGCTGTCAGAAAAGAGAGAAAAACAATTTTTTAATTCCATGGAAGACACAGCAAGTGTTGGAATCTAAGCCAGCGGTAGAACACTTGCCTAGCTAGTGTGCAGAAAGCTCCTGGTTAGGTCCACAGTAATTGCACACACACGCAACAAAAACACATGAAGTCTGCTTCTGACACATCTAAAAGGAAGTTTCACACACTTTTACAATGTCAAAAATACCTGTGGATCTTTTACAAAACTGATGAATTTGATGTCTTTGCCCCCAGGAAAATGACATTACAGGGAAATCTCCCAAAAGAAGAAGACCCATGCATTATGATTTTCGATTGGATTGCAATAGCGCCACCATGCACATAGACACACGTTCACCAACCTTTCCATTCTATCTCAGCTCAAAGACAGCAGGGAAAAAAATTATCATAGAGTTGGGGCGTGGCTCTGTGGCAGAGCCAGTGTTCAGTATACGTGAGGCTGGGTTCCATCCCCAGCATCAGGGAAAAACAAAAACAAAACATGAATATAAATATTACAAAACAGCTTAAGTACAATTAGAAGGGCCCTTTTAAAATTGAGACATTAAATATTTTCTAGTAAGTCATTTTAATATTTTATATACTATACTAATTAAATACATTATCCAAGGCCCTGTGGAACCTATATTATTTTTACAATTGAAACACACTCTTGGTAGTATACTGGAGTTTTGTAAGCCTTGTGATGTTTTTTAGCTTTTTTACCATGTTTGTGACACACAGTGCATTCATCTCAAGGAACTGGTGCACGTACACATTGCATCTTTGTCGCTCTTGCTTTCTCTTTCTCTTCCCTCCTTCCTGTCTATCTTCATCCCCCAATCTTCTACCCATCTCTACAAAGTCTAGGCCTAAACTGAATATATTTTAATGACACCAGCTCTTATAGTCAACGTGCACACAGAATCTTTTATCGGTGCAGATTTCCCAGTGGGTGCTGTGGCAAAACAACGTAGATCTCCATACATCAATGTGCACCTACACTATCTATGAGCTATATGGGTTCGGAAAAGCATCTGGTTCAATAACATTCTGAATGATCTCCAAACCAGTAAACCATTAGTGAACATGGGAAGCCCTTGAAGTACTCAGAAAGCATGAGCAGCATGGAAGACTATTCATCAAATGCGTATCTGGCGTTGGGAAAAGGGGTCTAGGCAGCATTTCAATTTTGCCTGAGAGATGAGCCACAGTCAAAGGACACTATTGGGTTTTTGAACTGAAGAGAAATTAAGGCTCCTAAAAAGTTGGGTGCTCAGAGAGTAGAAAGCAGTTGTGTGCTTTGTCTCTCCCTTGATTTCCTGAAGAATGGCTGAGACAGTCCCCAAGCCTCAGTCCCCAACTCAGCCCTTCCTGTCCTTTTCTCTTATAGAAAATACCTGATAAGATTACCATCATAGGGACTAGAGGTGTACCTCAGTGACGAAGTACCTGCCCGGCACACACAAAGCCCTGGGTTCCATCCTTAGCAGAGCTACAGGAACAATAAAAAATCTTTCTTAATCCTGAATTCTACTCTAAACCTCCTCTTGCCTTTATGGAAGATGGATGCCACCATAGAAATCTTACCCTAACCGTGTCCTTCTAAATCTGTTTTCACCTGGAATACACCTGCTCAGACAGGTAAAATCCTCAGCCCTCCCTGAAATTATCCAGGCACTTTTTGTACCACTGTGGTCTTGGCTTTTGCAGAGTAGTACATGCACACTCTCCCTTCCTGGCTAGAGGTAGCTGATCCCAGGAAGGTAAAGGGTGAACACCTGCTCTGTGCACAGAGATCCTTCCTGTGTGGGTTTGAGCTCTTATCCATACCAGCCTCTGCTTGCTACTATAGCTCAGCGTACCCAAACCAATGCAAAGAATAAGCTCTATCAGTGGCCTGCCACTGGACCACCACTCAGAGAAGAACTTTCATGATTTCTTGAAGTGATACCCAAAAAGGAGCTTTCTATTTGGTATTTGATGTCACATCAGAGCCAGGATTGAAATAAATGGGGTAGCATTGGTGGACAGAAAGCAGGGTGGACAGTGAATGTTGTGTGTTTCAATGTTCCTGCATATTCATGAGTAGGGCTTCTTATGGGCAAGACTTAGCAACACTTGGGCACAACTGCCCAGGCATGTGGCCAATGACCTCTCACTGATGACCCAATATGGCTGTCTACCACCTGGTAACACCTGGTAACACTTGCCCAAGTACTGTTCCCGCCTCCCCCAAGATGAAGACGTGAGGTAATCCATCCTTTCCTCAGGTAGATGTTGTGCCTAGAAAACTTAGCAGCAGACTTCATTAGTAGATGGCCTGAGCTATTAAATAGGGTGTCTTGCACAATGACAGAGGAATGTCAGTCTAGAACAAAAATCACCATGATCAAAATCTTTTAGTGGGGCCAGAGAGAGCAGGGATAGCTACACCTCTTTTCCAAAATGACAGTTATCTCATGAATTTTCACCTCTTAATTCTTATGTCAATAGGAATGGAAACGCCATTGGAAACAGGGCACCAGCCAAAGCTAATTGCAACAGCAGCATGCACTGACACCCAAGGTATCACCTGGTTCTTTTCCCCAAATAGCTTCAAAGTGTGCGGCACACTGAGAGTGGGCACTCTTAGGTGTATCTTACCACATTTTTAAAAAAAACGCTTGAAAGACCTACAGATTTTTATATATTATACCACAAGGAAGTGCGAAGCTCAATAACATTTCTGTCTTAGAGCCACAATAATCTCTCTAACACTCTAAATTTAATATATGCCAAAGTGGTAATATTTTATTATAATTAAATACAAGGGAAAGCTTTTGTGTCTTCTTTATATTAACAAAAGGAAGGAGACTGGAAACATTAACTTAAAAGTGAATTGTTCCAAGGTTTGAATTAGGTTTTTAGATGCTATTATTTTTTATTTTTTGACCAATTTTGCATGCTTATATCAGTAATCTGAACAACTAATTTGAGGACAGCAATATGCAATATAACAACCATTGTTGAATTCCTATCATCTTGTTTGGTGAAACTCTGTATTGTTTATAATTCTTTTGTTTTTCTTTTTTATTCCCTTTAATGGTTTGATTAATCTTGGATTCTTACATCTGGTAATCTGACCAACTCCAATGAAGATAAATATATGTAACATAACAACCACTATCAATCCTTACCATTTTGTTCTGAGAGCCTGTATCATTCCTATTGTTTTTGCTTTGTGTTGTTTTTGTCTATGTTGTGGGCATTTTGCTATTGTTCTTTTTCTCTTTTTTCAATTCTCTTTAAAATCAAAAATAATTAGTCAGATATAAACCAAGCGTGGTTGTACACACGTATAGTCCAGCACTCTTGCATGCTGTGGTAGGAGAATCTCAAATTTGAGTCTAGACTGGGCAAAATTGAGGGCTATCTCAAGGCCTTATCTCAACAAGTTTTAAAAGGGCTGGCTGGAGATGTAGCTCAGTGACAAAGCCTTGAATTTTTATCCTTAGTCCAGTGGATGGGTGGGTGGATGGATGGATGGATGGATAGATGGAGTGATGGATGGATAGATAGATGGATAGATGGATAGATGGAATGATGGATGATGGAGTGATGGATAGATAGAAAGAATTTGAAAATAACATGAATTGACTGTACTAAAATTATGTCTCAGTTGAAAAACTCTACAGGTAAAACTTGGAAAAAATCTATAGTCCCATTATTGAGTTACTATCCATTTGCAACTGGTTAATTTAAACAACACTTTAAATACACATTTAAAGCATCATCAACTTTCAAGGCTTTTCCTCTCTTGAGCTATGTCACAGTTCATTTTTCTGTTAGTGGCTAGATGTGTTTTACTTCACTGGCTTTTTAAATTTAAATCCAAACCTAAACAAGTAACCCAGAAAGTCTACCAAACAGATCTGTAACAGTCATGGAGCGCTTGACAATTTTCCTCTTCCCACAAAATGTATCTATTCCATGTACGGAAAGAAAATACTTAGTTACCAAAATCATCGGCCCCTCTAACACCCAGGGCGAGATTTCCAAGCAGAAATCCTGTAGATCCAACATGTGTTTACTGCTTGCTAACTGGGAAATGACAGTAACTTAGTTTACACAGTGGTATAATTCAAATCAAATCAATTCAAACCCTCTGTGTATTATAACAGAGCATGAGTCAAAAATCAGGTAATAAAGATTCAGTTCATTATTTACAAAGATTTCATGCCCTTTGTCTAGACGCAGATGACCATACCCTTGAACTACGAGGGACAAGATACATATCAGTCTCCTTACATTCGTAACTCATTGAGCTGAGAGAGCTGACTTGGATTCAAGCCCCTGTACTGCAAAAATTAAAAATAAAAATACATTGATTCCCTCCCCAAAAAAAGAACAAATACAGAAGCAATGCCCTAAAAGAGATATGAAATATTTATTTTCAAGAATAAGAATGAAGTGATTATAATCAGGCTCAATAATTTAGATTTTCCAATTGGAGGGAGCTATTTAATACTGTTTCACCTTTTCTATGGATTCATACATGATTTCTGGCATTATACTGAGAGCCGTGAAAATAATGATGTTTACTTATGCACTGAAAGGTTTCTCGCCTTGTACACAATCTTGAAATAATACAACCAATATTATGAATATGACACAAATAATTCACACACAGAACTAAACTAAGCACCACCGCACGTAACTGACTCCCACACGTACTCGATGAGGGTTCAATAACCTGTGCAGTTCTTTCCTTTCTCACTGCTATGAGTTCAAGACATTTAACATTTCACAGTTCTGTTCTTCTCACAAGAACTGTACAAGATCCACAGGCAGAATTTTCTCTGAGCTTCCTCTACAGTAGCGCTGACCACCAGATTTCAACCTGCTATTCTCAAGGTATAAGACCTGGATTGTGTATATGGAGAATTGAGCTCTGTGCGAATGTGTAAGAAAATAGCCCCAGGTTTTTATTTGAGTGAACCTTATTTTACGA